AGTCATCTATCATTGATGCATTCAGAAGAAGGTAGTAAGTATTTTGTTGGAAATAGTATGCTTCTAAGGATCCTTTATAAGTTTAAATATACATGATAATTGTAGTATGTCTTTTGACCGTTTGTGGAGAAAAGATCATTCATAGCTAATGCAACTGCAGGTAAGCAGTATGTATATGAACCAATCAACTCTCATGATGTTGCCACACTTATCTATACTAGTGGAACTACAGGCAACCCAAAAGGAGTTATGCTTACACATAATAATTTGCTTCACCAGGTTGCCATCTTTTAAATTTAAAACTTAATACTATAGTAATTATTAAAGTATTTGTCTCACACCGGAAAGTTATAAAACATTAAAACACTATACAAGGCTATCAGCTACTCCTCCTATCAGGTTGACCTTTTAGGATGGAACCCCGGGTCTTAACATGGTACCAGAGCCAATTTCGGTTGTGGTTTTACTCCTTGTTTAGCACCCATGATTACGGGTAGCTTGTTAAGGGTCTGTTTGGCCCATTTATACACCCCAGTATTGTCCGGCCCGGTTCAGGCTGAGGGGGCGCGTTGAAGTATTTGTCCCACATCGGAAAGCTATAAAACAATAAAACACTATATAAGGCTATCGGCTACTCCTCCTATCAGGTTGACCTTTTAGGATGAAGTCCCGGGTCTTAACAATAATATAAGGGCAATGCTTTAAATTTGGTCTTATACTCTTATACTCCCTCCGTTCCTTAAAACTTTGCCAACTTTCCTTTTTTGGTTGTCCCAATAACTTTGCCACTTTCCCTTTTAAGTAAAGAATTTGTGGTTCCAGTGAATTCTCTCTCCTCTGCACAAACCTCAACCACACAGTTTTTACTTTATTAATCCCCGTGCCGGTCAAACTTGGCAAAGTTTTAAGGGACGGAGGTAGTAATAACTAAAATTTATCCATATAGATGTTGTATTGTAATTACCTTCTGCTAAGGTTGCAATCTCTGGATCAGAGTTAGAGGTGCATTTGTGTGAAATTCCTTCTACAAGTGTTTTGTTATTCAATAGTTTTATATAACAATAGTAGTAATAATAATTATGATTGAAGAATACATGCTTCCTTTCTTCAGCATTATTGGATCTGGTAATTGTACATTTTTCTATGGAAGTGTTTCCCGGCGCACGTGCATGAATCAAAACCTTGTGTTCTCTTCGTAGGTTTTGAATTTCTGGGATTGTGTACCTGTTGTTCCTGGAGATAGATTCCTCAGCGTTCTTCCTCCATGGCATGCATATGAACGTGCATGTGAATATTCAGCTCTTGCTTTTGGAACTGAGCAAGTATACACTACTGTCAGACACTTGAAGGCATGTGGTACTGCTATACTGCTATATTCTCTTATGCATTATAAAGGTGTCCTTTTTAAAATTGACCTACTATGACAAAATTACAAAATATGGAAGATTTATTTGTGGTTCTGATTCGGTTTATATATATATTTTAGGAAGATTTGAAAAGTTATCAGCCAAATTATCTTGTATCAGTCCCTTTGATATATGAGACATTATACAGGTAAATCTAGTGCGGTTATCCTTGTTTTTTATACCTATTCACTTCAGATTTGTATTAGTTTGCCGTGGAATTGCAGTGCTACTTTGAAGAATGTTGTGCTAAAGCATTTAAGACACTAAACAAAATGCATGCATAGGAAATCCCTTTGATCCACCTGTCTGATACATCGTGTGATCCAAGTTCCGAAAAAGAACTTATGAAGACTCGTCTGTTTTCATGTAATCCTACTTTCATCGTCTTTATTTTATTTTGTTCACCTTGCAGTGGGATTATGAAACAGATTAATGCAAGTGGTAGGTATCGTAAGCTCATTGCCTTGATATTTCTGAAGATCAGTTATGCCTACAAAGAGTTCAAAAATATTTATAAGGTATGACCGCAACATTTAGATTTTATCAATATTTTAGCTACAGTTAACGTTGTTGGATATTCTTGATTGACTTTTAACTTCTATGTTTCAGGGTAAATGCTTAACACAAGATCAGAAACCGCCTTCTTTTCTTGTGTCAGCTTTAGACTGGTTATTGGCTAGATCCATTGCTGCTCTATTGTGTCCATTGCATATCTTTGCAAAGAAATTATTCTACACTAAAATTTGCTCAAATATTGGTATATCCAAGGTATATGCCTCCAATACTTCGACCTCTTTTCTTTAAAAAGTTAAGGAATCAGGGTTGATTTTGTTTTTATTTTTTGCAGGCTGGAATAAGTGGAGGTGGTAGTCTTCCTATACACGTTGACAAGTTTTTTGAGGTTATATACTTTTATTTTTATGAATATACCAAAGTTTGGATTGCTTTCTAGTTTCTAATTCAAGATGTGATATCATCTAGGCAATTGACATAACTGTACAAAATGGATATGGTTTAACAGAGGCGTCTCCTGTTGTTGCTTGCCGATGGCCAAATTCTAATGTAAGTGTTGTCTCCTCTGAACTGTGAAACCTTTCACCTAATTGTCTGCTCTGATTAGCAATGCGAGTATCATTACCAATTATTCTCATGTTTGAACCGTTTCAAAAGAGATGATTTTGTCAGAAATAAATATGAACATCCAAAAAGTTGTACAATTTCTGACAGTACCATATAGCGTCTAGGCAAAACTATCCGTAGTATAAGAAGCCGAAGCCTGCTCTCTCTCATCTTTTCCTCTGCATGCATGAATAGTGACTAATGAGTGGACAATCATATATTAGCCACAATTAAACTAAGTCAATATCATGAAAAATACAAATATAATGTTGGCAGGTCATTGGATCAATCGGATTTCCCTTGGCGTACACAGAAATAAAAGTTGTAGATGTTGAAACGGATGAGGTCCTCCCCCATGGTTCTAAAGGCCTTGTCAAAGTCAAGGGACCACAGGTCATGAAGGGCTACTACAAGGTTAGTGGAATTGTGCATTTGAGCAATGTTTTCTTCGTCTTACCCGTCACCTCTTATTGTCCTGTCATGTGTGTTTCCTTTGTAAACTTCTTATATATTTTTTGTTTTTCCATAACAGCATTGAAAAACACGGTCATATTTACTTGCCTTTTTAAAATGTTGTAAATATAGAACACTATTTATTTCAACATTTGAAATTAATCTCTCTCCTTAACTTGTTTCGTAATTGTGAGCATTGCATTGTTGTTCAGAATCCAATGGCTACAAAGCAAGCTATTGATGAGAACGGATGGCTAAATACTGGTGATCTTGGTTGGATAGTTCCTCATCATTCTGTTGGGCGATCTCGGAGTGCTTCAGGTGTTATTGTTCTTGAAGGTCGTGCAAAGGACACTATAGTCCTTTCATCAGGTAATGGTTAAACTCTTATTACTCGTGCGCAATCTATCATAATCGAAAACCACCAATTTTGATATATGTCATATCATCTAGTAGTAGAAATACAATTGTGCATGAGTATCGAATTTGAAGTGAAATCTTCCATTAGTTCCATAAATTTTATGAAAAAAAAAACTTCTGTATGCGTTAGGTGAAAATGTTGAACCGTCTGAGATTGAAGAAGCTGCAATGTGTAGCAATATGATTGAGCAGATTGTTGTCATTGGGCAGGCATGCAATACTTATTTATCTTTTATTTAATGTATACCACATTTGAAACTCAGCTTGTTCATTTGAACGCATTGACCTGTAAAATGTAGGATAAACGGCGCCTTGGTGCTATTGTTGTACCAAATAAGGAGGAGGTTCTTTCTGCAGCAAAAAAACTTTCAGTTATTGGTTCTGATGCCATAGAAGTCAACAAGGAGAAAATAGCTAGCCTCTTACATGAAGAACTAAGAAAATGGTAACAGTCTTGTATTTTGTAGGTCTATTAGCAGAAAAAAGTGCTCAACACAGCTAACCAAAGTTATCTGGTGTTTCATTTATTGAAATGCAGGACGACGGGTTGTACATTTCAAGTTGGGCCTCTCCTTGTCATTGATGAGCCTTTTACGGTATCTTTTCGTCTTCTGAGCTACATACATTTCCCAACCACTTCCCTTTTCTCAGACATTTTGATTTATTATGGCTGTGCAGGTTGAGAATGGTTTGTTGACACCCACTATGAAAGTTAAGAGAGACAAAGTAGCAGACTTGTACAAAGAGCAAATAGACAGTCTATACATTTGACTTGCCTTAAACTTTTTGCATTTGCATACTACTTGATGTAATAACTAAACAGGTGCTTTGCAGGGTTTCTCTTGATTTTTTGGTTTCTTATGAAATGCAAGGTGTTTATTTGTAAAAGATCACTAAGGTGGTGTTCAATATGTTTCATCGAGTCAAGTAGTTTTTTTGCGGAATCCTATTATATACCATTGAATTTTTGTGAATTTGGAATTTTGGACAAATTGTAGTGGAGTTCTTTTGTATAAAACCAATATAGAAACAATGTTTTTATGGATTTATCACAACTTCATGATCAAAGCATATGAAAAGAAATGTAAACACGGGAAGCAAAGTCACTCGCCAAAAAAGGTTAGATATTTGAGATCCAACTGCATCATCATTTGATTCTATAGGAAGACATTTATGCTATATAAATTTATAAGTTTATAACTAATGCGAATCATTATGATGCAATGAGGTGCTGGGAAATTTTCTAGACTAATAGGTTTAAGTTCAATTGGAGCCATTGTGGCATTATCGTTCTCTTATTGCTCTTTTTTTGCATTTTCCTTTTTTTGCACTTTCCCAAAAAAATCTTCCTGATATGATTTGGATCGAAGTTTAAGAAAATGATAATAAATTAAAATTGTATGATTGTGATTGAGTAAGAAAAAGGTAAATAAATAGTAGTCACAAACCTTTCCAAAAAGGGAAAGGGGAAGAATTTTTTTGGGACGGACCAAAAAGGTAAGTGGGAAGAATTTTTGGGGACGGAGGGAGTATAGATAAAAGTTTCATACAGAATTTGATAATCAAAATCTTCCATCAGTTTTCATATCCCATTTATGTCGGTATGTGGCATATCCTCTTAATTGGTTTGATGTAATACTCCGTACTAATTAGCTTCGCTTGGGTAACAGACTTGTAGACAGGCAGTCATGCGCAGAATACTCGTTAAATTACAAGGTTTATTTCGAACAACATGGCAGGCAGTGCCAGCAAATATTCCATTCGTGGGCTAACAAGCCTTCATTATTCTTGGCATAATAAGCTATAACTCTATAAAATAACAAAATATAATATGGTACATGCTTTTAAATCCAGATATCAGAAGTGCAGTCACCACCAGGATACCTCATTTCATGAGCCAATGCTGGACCATCAGGTTCAGCTCCAAAGTCAACGAAGAAGTTTGGGTTGACGGAAAGTCCGCCTTTTTCAGTGTCCACATCAATCTGTATAATGTGGGACCCTTTCTCCACGAGCTCTGGATAGAATTGCTTGTCCCATGTGCTGTACAGCGAGTTAGTCGCGTATAGCCTTTTCCCATCAAGACTCAACTGTATCATCTGCGGTCCTCCCCTCAACTTGTTTCCCTGGAATGTGTTCCCAATATCTTGAGTTAGGCTCTATTGATTTTCTATCAGTATGGTTTAAATCAACCCATATCATTTTTTTGCAACATGGTTTGTAATTATTATAGCTTTTTTGTAGGAGTAAAAATGTCAAAGTACCTGAACATCTGGGACATCAACCTGGAAGGTTGTACCATCTTCCGCTTCTGCGACTACAGCGCTTCCTTTTCTAATCAACCCACCCACCCAGACTTGCCCCGCCAGCTTTGGCTTTGCTGGTTCTTCAATGTTATACTGCCTAATGTCACCATGCAGCCAATTGGCCAAGTAAAGAAAACGGTCATCCAGAGAGATCAGAAAATCAGTGATCAGTCCGGGCATTTCAGGAAGAATCCAATTTTGCACCTTCAATGATTTTACTGACTCTGCTACCTGCAGTGGTTTGGTATTTTTTATTGCGTACAAACATGTTATAAGACCTAAGCTTCCACCTAAAATATAGTACTTCAAAAACTTTATATGAGTTTGTATTTTATTGCTTTATTTGGCCGCTTTGAAAATGATGATTACACATCAGATAAGACTTTAGCTTGTTGGAAACTTGGAACATACTAATATTGAAACCTGTGTGCTTTTTTTAATCTTAATAGGATCAGTTGTACTCAAGAAGTTTGGGATTTTTTAACGTACCAGCGGGATAGTGAATAGTTGGATTCAACGTATCATTGTTTTTTTTAAATCTTAGATAAATTTTTTGCTCATTTGAGCTCAAATGGATTTGATAATGCATAAAGACTCGGGTTTCACCATAAAAGTCAATAAGAGTATCCCTAATGAGTGACATAACACATACAGCTCAATGGTTTCACAATTATAAATTATTGGCATGTGAATGTTTGGCTTTTCAGTTTACCTCATGGCTCCAAGAATCATCTGGATTCTTGAAAAAACGCACCATGTTGCTGGTCAATGCACACCCCACGAACCCAGTTGCTTCTGATGGATCGTGGAGGAACCTTATCTGCCACACATTCGACACAAAAAGTTATACGAAATGAAAATGAAGGGGTGAAAAAAGATAAATCTTATATTTACCTCCAAGGGTAGAAGCCCAGTATTGCCAAGATCAAGTGTCTGTTTCAGTTCACCACCAGGCCAACTATAGACATGCAAATGGCGACCATAGAGCCCATCAGAAACATGCTGAGGATCGAAGCCTTTGGTGAAGGCCCTGGGAGCTCCCCAAGATGAGCTAATCATTGTCTTGTGCCGCGGCTGGTACCAAAAATCATACCCATATAGTGGACTGTGCCCTGGCTTTTCCCACCTTATTACACATTTACATAAATACATTATTACTGTTAAGACTATAGTGTTAAAGATCGCCTAAAAATATGGAATTACAAACCAACATATGAGATAAAGTTATTTCACCTATCATGGGCTCACCTTTTCGGATAGAACATATGTCTTACTAAGTTACTATTGCATCATATTCATTCCGACAAAAACTGTGATAAGGGCAACCTAAGAAAAACTGCATGGCCCTCGCGGGATGTAGTGCTGAGGGTTCGTTCCCTTACGAAAAATGATCAAAATTAAAACGGTCAACCTGATGCGCCAGGCCATTAGGACAAAAACAGTCATTTCCTTCAAGAGCTTTTTTATAACAAAAAAGAGTCCGGTTTTAGAAGTCAAATTTCATTTTCAAGTAGAATACTAGTAAAGCCAGGCTGCAACCAGATCTATTCAATTACTCCAAACATTTTTAGTGTAAAAGCATGACCCTTATTAAAATATTCTTTTTGGGACTGGGCAAGTACGTGAGAGGGGGTAAAAAAATCTGAACTATGCAAAAAGACTAGTTATAACAAAAATAAAGAATAGGAGGCAAGAAAATAATGTTTTTTTTCTATAAAGATGATTTTAGCACATGTAGACTACCTTCCTTTCACATTGAAATTGGAATCAAGTAGAAGAAATCCATTCCCCTCAGCATTTCCATCTTTATCACCAAGGCATGACAGCATGATGTCACCGGAAGCAAGGCAGTGAGCAGTATGTGGATAGGCTAAACCAGTCTTCTTTACAATCTCATCTGGCTCTACAACTTTATGTACACTGGGAGCTTTTGGATCCTTTAATGTGTCAATTGCATATATGCGCCCGGATCTGAAAACATTAAAAAATTCTCTCAAATGCAAACAAATGCAGAGTGTAGATTCTTCTTGGTTCAAATCTCAATCAACACCATGGATCTTTAGAGATGTAATGGCCATACTAATTAATATAGACAGATCAGAAGCCTAGTAAGTTATACCATTACTAGTTATTATATAAATATACTTGGAATTTATTTACATAAAAAAATATAAATATACTTGGAAACAACCAGCACAAAGTAAATAAGAATCTTGTAAGACAGCAGAGGAGGCAGGCCAGTTACATGAGTGAAGGCAAGACAAGATATCGACGAGAGGCAGTTGGGTCACCAAAGCAAGAGCTGCAGGAATTCCATCCAGAATGATGTAGTTCATCACCTATATAAGGCATTGGTAGCCTGTGGATCACTTTAGAATATGTTGGCGAATTACTATCAACATCAACAGTAGCCAAGTAATCTGGCTTCTCCCTTCCTGTTCCTGCAATGATGAACATACACAAAAATTTCAGCATATAACAATTTAAATTGTCTCCTTGTGCTTTAGTACAGGGGTAATGTTGATGATGATGATGATGTGTGTGTGATAGAATTTAAGATTGGATTGAGATGGTTGATCAAGGACATAAAGCACTTGGGATACTCCAAAGGACACACGTGCCACGGGGGTGTTAAGATCCACAGATAATATTTGTCTAGTCGGGTCCGGGATAGACATCAGATTCCACTTGCAATGAAAGCGGCCCAGAACTGCTTTAATGCTAAAAGAAAGAATTTGATCTATTGGCTAGTTTAACCCAATGATTTATTATCATTTATCTCTTCTTGTGTTTGATGTGGGACCATACAATGTGCGTGCAGTTTGGTACAATGTGCAAATTGGAGCTTCTGCATTTCTCAAGATAATGTATTCAAAATATCAACATTTTGAAATGGTACATCTCAAATTTCTGCTTAAGTACTAAGTGAACATCAGTAACAACTGTTCAGCTCAAAATTGGGTATGTTTGGGAGTTTGGAGGAAAGGGGAGGGGAAGACTTTGAAGGTATGTTGTTGGAGGGGAAAGGGAGGGGAAGGTAAGGAAACCCTTCTTGGTATTTGGGAGTAATAAATTTGGAAGAAGAGAGTTTTTGAAGGAATTATAATTAAAATGATCCTTGAGATATGACAAATTCAAATAATTTGGTTGATATTCATTTTAAATTAGGCTTAAATTCTCATTTCATTAATTACTCTTCAAAACTCTCCAAATTGGGAGAACTTAACAATTGAGAACTTAAATATTGAGAACTTAAAGATTGAGCATTTAGAGGGTTTTGGAGGGTTACAAAAGCCCTCCGAAACCAATTTCTTAAACTCCCAAACATGAAAAGAAGGGTCATAAACCCCCATAAACCTTCCCCTCCCCTCCAAAACCCCAAGGGTATGTTTGAGAGTTTTGAGGGAAGGGGAGGGGAAGAAACCATCCCCTTCAATTTCATAAACTCCCAAACATGAAAAGACGGATCATAAACCCCATAAACCTTCTCCTTCCCTCAAAAACCCTAAGGGTATGTTTGGGAGTTTGGAGGGAAGGGGAGGGGAAGACTTTGAATGTATGTTGTTGGAGGGGAAAGGGAGGTGAAGGTGAGGAAACCCTTCTTCGTATTTGGGAGTAATAAATTTGGAAAAAGAGGGTTTTTGAAGGAATTATAATTAAAATCACCTTCAAATATGACAAATTCAAATTCAAACAATTTAATTGATATTCATTTTAAATTAAGCTTAAATTATCATTTCATTAATTACCAAAAGCCTTCAAATTGAGGAATTTAAAAATTGAGAATTTAAAGGGTTTTGGGGGTTACAAAAGCAATCTGAAACCATCCCTTCAATTTCTTTAAACTCTCCAACATCAAAAGGAGGGTCATAAATCCCCATAAACCCCACACACCCTAAGGAAGTGTTTGCAAATGTTTTTTTGCTTAAAAAAACACTTTTTTGAAGTGATTTTGAAAAAGTGATTAGTAGTAAAAGTTGATAGTTTTTGAGAAAAAAGTGATTTTGAAACGTAAAAGTTGGTAGTGTTTGGTAAAATAAGTGCTTTTAATAGAAAAAAGTAAAAAGCACTTTTCACACAAAAGCCTAGAAACATTTTTTTAAGCAGAAGTTGTCACTTGAAACCACTCCTTTTAGCTTTTTAAAGCCAAAAGACCAAAAGCGTTTTTTTAAGCAGTTGCACACACTCCCTCCCTAAGTGAATAGAAGGTAAAACTTATTCAAAATATCAGTAACAACTGTTCTGCTCAAATGTCTGGTTTAACTCTAAGTTTGAAATGGTACATCTCAAATTCCCTTGAGTCAAACATATAGAGGACATACATAGAAAAATGTTCAAAACCAGGTAAAATCTAATTGCAATGCCAAGCTAAGAAATCACTAACATGCCAATCCATAGGAGCTCACTATTGCTACCAAACTAGTAGATGAAGGCAAATATCCAATGATGTAAAGACTACTTATGCTGCAGAACCAGGGATAGTTAACAGCTTATATAAAGGTTCATTATAAGCAATTAGGGACTCTTTGGTAATAGGACATTAAAAGGGTGTTTGGAATTGATTCTATTTTTTTAAGAAGTGGAATCAGAATTAGTTTTCACAATATACTTTTTTGTGCACTCTCACACAAACACTCAAATATCTGTTCCTCTAAGAAACAGATCCAAACACCCGCTAAAATAGAACCTTGATTCTTATACACAATTCTTTGATAATACTTTGGTGTGCCTAAGGTATACCAAAGTAGTTTTGGCTTTTGGTTCCTATGGTATAGAACTTGACTAAACAAAACCCGTTCTTTAAAAATTAGAATCTCATCTTTAGCACAAAACTAGGATATCCACCGCGCACCAGTTTCGATACCCAACAAAAAGGAATTGAAGTGAAAGGCGTGGATGAAATATTACTGACCTGAATAGACGCAGGTGACATAAATAAGGGACTCCTCAGGACCTTTCATGGCTTCCATAGGACTGGCATACCCCGGACCTCTCTTGCAGCACCCACCGGCGCCGACCACTCCGGCGTGCTCCACCGCTGCTGCCACATCCGTAGCCATCCTCGCTTTTCCGTCGGAGAAATTGAACCAGACAAAAAAAAAAAAAAAGACGGCCCGGAAGTCAAAGGTAAAGAGTAGGTGAGATGAACTGCGTGAGTGTGTTATCAGGACGCCCCAGGCCGGCCGGAGTTTGTTGATTTATTACTGCGATAAAAGATAAGCTTCGTCTTCCTCCTTATATTTATATTTATAAATGAAAGAGTGGCGGTTTAACTTAGCTAATCGTGTTTTATCCGTATCTGGACGTCCTGTTGTTTGTGGGTCTGTTGCAGTAACTTTGTGTCTAGGAGGGATGAACCTGGAGTCCTCTTCCGCCAATACAATCACAATTCACACCACAGCCTATAAACAACAATTGACAAACGTAACATACTTTTCTTAAATATATTTGGAAAATTTGAAATTAATAGTCCCAACTATTGACGGTGCGCTGATAATAATCCCAATTATTGATTATTTTTGTATAATCCCAACTATATGGACAGTCCACCAATAATTGTCCATGACCAAATATTACACCCTCAAAAAGTGAATTTTAAATAGAAATCAAGTTTAAAAATTAAAAGTTGGGATTACTTATAGGGATTACTTGTTATATCTCTCCTCATCCACTTTAGAAACTACAAGAATTTATTTAAAAGGACCATTATTGGCGGAAGGTCCCTAAAGTTGGGATTATTCTGAAATAATCGATAGTTAGGATTATTATAAGCGGACCGACCATAGTTGGGATTATTACTATCAATTTTTCCAATATATTTATAGATTTTTCAAAAAAAAAGAAACATATTTATAGATTAATATATTCTACTTTGAGTACATTTTATTTGTTAATGCATTAGTGAATTGTTTTTATAAAAGTATTGTTACACTTTGTCTCATTGTGAATTTTTAGTAAATAAATTTTTTATTTTTTGATAATAGATAATTAAATATATTAATGATCAAAATTATGCATTAACAAACGTGAAAATATTACTGATACATTTATTTAATAACGGATGTAATATTTGTTTTGTTTGTGACAGGAAAAAAATCTTCCCGAAACATGTAAAAATGTGTTCAAAAGTGAAGCGTGAACAAAAGGTTATTTCGGTCAGGACCGGTCCTTCCCTTAGGCCAGTGAGGCTTGGGCCTCAGGGCCCCAAAAAATTTTAAAAATTAGGGGCCCAAAAATTTAAAAAAACATTTATATTATATGAGGATGTTTGGATTTGATTATAAAACGGTTTCTGCTCCTTGAAGGAGCAGAAACAGAAGTTGGAGTGTTTGGATAAAAATGCAAAACTGATTTTGGTGCTCTAATTTACTCATAGAATAAGTTTTTTAGAAGTTGGGGAGGGCCAGCTTCTGAAAACTAATTCTTATTCTGCTTCTGCTTTTAAAAAAGAAGCAGAATCAAAATCAGTTCCAAACAACCCCTATATGTACTAAAAAACAAGCGGGACAATAGAGTTATCAATGAAGTAGTGAAGTACAAACATGAAGTCCAAAATTTGTCGAAATGTTATTATTTCCAAAAATCTAGCTTTTAGTATGATTTGCTAATTTGATGAATTGTTGATTTGTAAATACCCAAATGAAATAATTTATTAACTTCTATTTTCTATAACTATTTGCTATAATTATTTACTAAATCTTATATTATTGGCTGAGATTTGAAGTATCTGCATAAACAAATGCTATTTAAAAATTAAAAGTAAGTTGATTTTTATTTGTCTTACAAACTAGTCAAGCAGGCTCATGCCTTGCAATTGATATTTTATATTTGAGAATTTAGATCTATTTTTTATTAAGATTATCGTGATAAAAATTGTGTAATTTTCAATCCAAAATTAATCAAAATTGTGATTTTCTTTATGTTATAACGTAAGAATTTTATTATAAGTATTGGGTTTTTGTGATATTAATCCTCTATTTCTAAATATGTTGTATTACAAAACAAATACTATGTATAGGGCCCTTTTATGAAACCTCGACTCAGGCCCCAGTTTATGTAGGATCGGCACTGATTTTGGTTATAAATTATCGAGAAAAACAACGTAAATTGCAACATTGGGAGAAATGCTCAACACCTATATACTAATATATATTTTTCAGTTTTCTTTTATGTTTCCGGTTCTCCAATTTTATGTTTTAATTTTTCAAATTTTCTATGCTCAATTTAAGTATGTAAATTCATTCCAGCAACACTGCATCACGTATTTCAAATTTAAAAAACTAGCAAATTCACTCCACCAATACACTATTATTATTATTATTATTATTATTATTATTAGTAATCACATCGTATTTAAAAGATCACTACATTATGTCTTGACATAATATTTAAGGGAGAAATAGTAGGGGTAATGATGGACAGTGTACCCGGGGGTAGCTTATCCGATGGGTTATTGCGGGAAATAACTTAGAGAGAAGTCAGAGCAAACAAGTAGGGGAGAGAGGCGATTATATTTATGAACTCGAGATGTTCTGGTCCTTTACAATGGGAAAAGGGGTGCTATTTATAGTAGTAATAAATGCGATGAGAGTACATGTGGCGATAATCTAACGGCCAAGGGGTCACCTCAATCGGGTGGCACTGACAGTCGCATGTGCACCGCATTGAATGCGGTGGGTGGATGTGATGTCGCATTAAATGCGGTGGTTGCTTGTTTCCAAAGGGAATCTTCGATGATTGAGTCGGTGGCCGATGGCTCCCCCTGCGGCCGAGGGCCTGTGTAGCCGAAGGCATCGTACAGCCGAAGGTTTCCCTGATGCCGAAGGCTCCTGGTAGCCGAGGGCTACCGTTTTACGCCGTTTTCTTCCGGCAGCTTAGTGCACTTAAATCTGGCTGCCCTGTGTATTTTGGAGCCTTCGGCCAAGGAGACCGAAGGCACCCCAGTGTGTTTTTGGGCTTCTTTGAGACATGGGCCGCTGTATTTGGGCTTCGAATGCTCCTTGGGCTCAATGGGCCTGTGTAGGAGAAGTAGGAGTCTATGGGCCGGGGGTCCCTGGGCCATATAGTCCATCAGGTAATATAATGAATTTTGCTGAAAAAGTAGGAGATAAGATGAAAAATTAGGAAACGGAAGATACAAAGTAGAACAAGTAAGGGTAATTGGGTATTTTTAAAAGAAAAACTTATCAAAAAATGTACCAAAATTTTAAATACATCTCCATTAGGAAAGTATTATTATTATAATTATTATTATTATTTTCTATTATCATCATTATCCTGACATCATCATCGTCATCATCATTTTTATTATTAATTTAATTAAATATCAATATAATATGTGTGGGTCCAATAAAAAATGTATTCCATTAACGAGCATCGATCCTGTTAGAATTAGAACTCATTGATAATAAACACTTTCATTATAATTGAGAAACTAATTTAGAACTAGTATAAATACATTATGCTACTTCATTATGTAGAAACCTCAAGTTAAGGATAAAACACCTTATCAAATACTCCCTCCGTCCCGCTAACAATGGGACAAGAGGGAGCGACATGCTAATTAATAAAAATTGGTTTAAATGATTGATATTGAATTAATAAAGTAAGAATAAAATAAGAATGATTTAGAGCCACACAAACTTTGCCAAATTTGGTATGAGACAATCTTAGTGGAGCGGACAGAAATGACAAAATGGGACAATCTTAGCGGGACGGAGGTAGTAATTATTTGTTTAATTCATATATTATCATTTAAGATTTCTCCTTTGGGGAGAAAGCTTTGAGAAGCAAATGGGTTTATAAAAGCAGGTCTGATAGCCCTCGTTTGGATTATAGCAAATTGAGCAAACCGCTGAAAACAAATGATGTCATAGTCTTGGTGAATTATCAGACCGAAGGACTGAATTGTACAAATATTTTTGTGCCTAAGGCAAAAATAGTCAATGCTCGGGCCTTTTTTTACGAGTTTTTTTCCCAAATAATGATAATTAAAAAACTAATTACAAAAATATGGTTGAGTCAAAAGTTTTTACCAAATTGCTGCTGCCCAAACCATGGTTAAAAGAACCGCCAATCCAATTGGCGACTTATGCAGTTATGCGTAAGCGCGGAGGAAGCAATGCAAACTAACGACATGCATGCTCGTAATAAATGGAGGAGAGAGGTAGTGGTGGGGTCCAAGGTATAAAATATCTCATTTTTGTTTAAAGTGTTATAACTTTTTTATTTTTGCTCCAACTTTTACAAAAAATATACCAAAACTCATAATTTTTTATGATCTTTCATATGACATCAATATCACATATGTAAAATTAAAAAAATAATGTTTTTACTTTTTAATTTTACATATGTAATATTAGTATATTAAATGTTTAATTTTAGATATGTGATATTCATGATAATAATTTTTTAGGACAACATGTAACGCCCGTACTTCTTATCTACTCTTTATGTGTTTAATTAATCAATATGATTATGTCATAAGTAATAATTTTGTGTATTATATATGTAAGTTAGGGATATCGTGTGATTATATACTTTGTGATATATATATATATATATATATATATATATATATATATATATATTTGAACTTACATGCTTGTATCATGTTTGAACGTGACAGGCAACAGTATCCGATGAGCAACGAAACTACACCGTAATGATCATTTTTATTCTAGATGAAATGGTATCAAGTTAGTTGTCATGTTAGATTGTATTTGGGTGTTACAATATAGTTTAAAATGTTGTCGGGGGTCAAGGGTGTGATTGGCAACAATCGGGGTCAGTTTAGGGTGAAAAAAGAGCGTTTTCGGGCGTTTCCGGCATTTGAATGGCCTCAAACCGGCGCCGGTCCAAAACAGAAAGTTCAAGGCGTCAAAAATACAGCATAACCGGCGCCGGTCAGGGGCAAACCGGCGCCGGTCCGGTCAATTTTGGCAGGTCGGTCAAAAAATCGTTTTTAAGCTCAAAAACCCCCTTTTCGACCCAAAATCGATCCCAACTCGTTCTTCTCTCTATAGACTAACCCTAAGCCCTTCCTAAAGTGATTCAAGGCCAAGTTAAACATCTTTCTTCATCAAAGATCATCACTTGGTAAGATTTATACTATACATGAAGAATTTCTTCCCAAACTTGATATATGGTTCTTGTTTTTGGGTTAAGCTAGGGTTAATTGATTGAATCGACTGGTTCTACTGAAACTTATGAAGTTCTGGTTGAAGTGGCTG